AACACACTCCCTCTCGGGTTCCATTGCTTGAGTATAACATCACCATGACCTGTGACCGCTCTAAATAGGGGTGTAACAATACATCGTGACACGATACATCATGATGCAAAAACAGAACTTGATGTGCATCGTGGAGATGGACGATAACAAGTATCTTCTGTTTATTATGTCATCCAATGCAACTGCATTTTTGAACACCAGAGGGCGCAATTGATTTTACCCACACCAGCACATCATACGTCATGCCCCCATACGGCACAGTCTTTAGCCTCAGTTGATGTTTTTATTGCAAATGACGAGGCCGTTTTCTGTAGTCAATAATGACAGATTTCGGCTTCTAGTTAAGGCGCTGGAGCCGCGTTACAGCGTTCCGTCACGTCCGCGCTTCAGCCGCTCTGTATTATCGGCCCTGTACAATGAAACAAAAGCAAACGTGATGCAAACTTTCAAAGAGGCAGACAGCGTAGCAGTAACACCAGTAGGGTGGACTACCCAGAGCTAAGTCACTATAACAGCACATGCGATCACCGGAGAGAGGAAAATAGCGAGCTTCCTACTCCAAACTCGCCCTCTTTTCGATTCTCACACTGGGCAAAACACAGCTGAGGTGCTGGGGGCTGAAATCGGCTCACAACTGTTGTTGGAGACAGAGCACGCAATATGAAGGTAGCAGTGAAAGAGGCTTGGCTACCACCACACAAGAAACACTATGTGCACGCTTTAAATCTTTCCAATCACTTTAAAGCACTTTAAATCTTGCTGTCAGTCGTTTGCTGGGTCGAGTGAGACGCACAACGTTAGCCGCCTTCTTCCACCGAAGTGTTGCGGCCGCCGCCGTGCTCGAGGCTAAACAGATCCCACCACATAAACTCATCATCGCACGAATGGAATAGCTCAGTGTCGTGAACAACAAGCAGCCGTAACGGCAGCTCTTGTGCGTAGGGAGACGCGTCAAAATGCCTGTGAAATCTATACTCTGGACGGCTCCAACACCAGTGATGCCGAGGATACTGTGGAATAGAGATGAAACGGTTACCGGTTTCACGGTAAACTGTGGTAAAATTAATGACGGTTAGTAGTACCGTTTGAACTTTACAGTATCGTTAAAACCGCGGTCGATTACCGCGGTGTGAAAACTCAGAGATTCGGAGATATTTCAGCCTTCTAAGAAGACCAAGTCTGACGTTTGGTCATGTTTTGGGTTTTATAAGAATGCAGAAGGGAGGTTAATTGAAGATGACCACCCTGTCTGCAGGACAGGCCAAAAGAAAATAGCGGCGAAAGGGGGCAACACATCAAACCTTACGAGTCGCGACCCCCACCCGCTACTTTATAGAGAATGCAAGGTTAACTTTAACGTAGAAGTCTGTGGGGACTTCGAAATAGAAGAAACGTCATGGTTTGTGTGGTTTAACCTATGCTTATGGTTCTGGAACGAGACGCTGCGGAAGTTCAATCTGCACAGCTTCCCTTTCTCACCTCGCTTGCAGGGTTTACTGTCTGAGGATAACACCGTCTCAAATCACTCAGTGTCCCCTACATAGGGCAACACTGTTCAAACAAACACGGTCATCATTAACAAGCAGCTGAGTTTTAAATAGGGACTTTGTAACCTGTTGCTAATGTTGATTATAGATGACTTAGTCGAACGTTTCTTGCACTCTTTGGGTGAAGGATTTGCTATTTCATGATCCACGAAGTGCACTACTTAGGGAAGATAGTGTGCTTTGAGACGGGACCTCACGCGAGTAAACGCTGTGCTGCTTTTAGGAAAAGCCGAGGTTTAGAGATTAAACTGTAGGAGTGTTTCTGCCGCAGCTCAGATGCGCCTTAATTTTTGTTTTAGTTTTAAATGCTTTTAGAGAAGCAGCTCCACAGGTGGAGACACACTGTGTGAGTTCTACACTGTCTGCAGCTCACAGCGCGTCACGCAGCTCCTCTGCGATTTTGTTTTTAGTTTTTCCTGGTGCGCTGTGTTGATTAGAGGTTCAGCGCCACAACGGCACAGTAATGCTGCAGTTGCAGTTCGGACAGAAACCCCCCGAGTGCAGCACCTCTTAGAAGTAGTCATTTTCCATTAAGACCCACCTCAGAGTTGGTCCAGATTTAATTCTCTTTGCAGGGAAATCCCTAGTTATTGTAATTAATAATAATAATAATAATAATAATAATAATATTAAGAAGAAGAAGAAGAACAGTAATAATAATAATAATAATAATAACAACAACAGTAATAATAATCCATTTGCTATTCTTTTGTTTACAGAGTATTACAAGTATTGTAAGTTATACAAAAGTAATACCAAAAATGTATTGACCTTATTTTTTAATGTTTATGCAAACAAAAAGTGCATACTGCTGCCAATTCTATTTGTGTTAATATAAAAGTTGGTGAAACGAGTTTCAGTTTGTGTATCGTATTTATTTTTTTATTTATTTTACTTTTCAACACAATTTTTGAACAATATCGCGATAATACCGATAATCGTGATAATTTGTCATGATAATCGTGATATGAAATTTCATCTCTACTGTGGAAATTCTGAAACCTCTGAAAACAGGCACCACCGCGCTGTCCGACGAAAAGAACCCCACAGTGTCACTCAGTGTCACAAATTTTGCAAATGTGTTTTGCTGTTTTGTACAAGAAAAGTACACATTATTTGAACTGTTAGTCTTCAGAAATAAAACAGGAGTATTTTCACTTGGATATTTAATGTATGCTGAAGATACAACAGAATGTTTTGTTCGCAGTTTTAAAGCTCTGCTCCTAGTGATTTCCTTTAACTGCAGGGAACTAAAGGTTTTTGCTTAAAAACGTATACAAGCAAATGCACTGTTTACACAGAAATATACAAGGAATGTTGTTCATAATTTTTGTTCATTCAAATTTTGTTTAAATATCATAAGAAAATCGAATCGAGTTCATCGTTTCACCCCAGATCTAAACTATAAACCATGTTAAAGATTTAATCTTCGCTACATCCCTTTATCTGCCGCTCTGGCGCTGCGGAGTCGAAGAGTCGGTTCCGTTGGTGGAGTTCACTCCACAAACCCCAGAGTCATTTATCACTAACAGCGTTCCTCTGTACGTTACTTAGCAACAAGAGTCTCGAAGAAATAACGTTAACACTGAGGGAGACTCTACGTTTCGGCCACTAAAGGAAAAATGACCGCTGTAGATAATGACATAAATCACAAACAGGGATCCATTTCGGACGCAGCCGACACCCAGAGGCGCGTCAGAGCAGAAGGATCGAGTCTTGGGAGTCGACTCCCCAGCACAAAAACGGCAGCTGCTGTTAAAACTTCAGAAACGTATACTCTGTCCACTTTCTGGTGACCCACACAGAAAAAAAATATAAGCCAAATGTATTCATTAAATCTACATTTGTAATATATGAAAATGGCCATAAATTTAGTGGCTAAATGTATTTTTAAACTGCATTTAATTATATATGTGTGATCTGCATTGAACTTTACATTAACCATGTACGTCTGCAGTCAGACTCTCACACACAGTGTATTTCACATAAACAAGATATCAGATCATCACTGCATTTTCACAGAGTATCAATACCCACAACACTCGCTTCTGTCCTGATAAAGGATCATCTGATCAGATTTAAAATGAAGATGAAGAAAAACAAACACAAATTCATATAAAGCACCATATAAAGCACTTCAGGTACAGAGTCAACCAAAGCTCACATTTTTCTCTTGAAACTGTGAAAATGCAGAAAACCTTGCTCTGCAAAAGCATATACGCTAAAATTAGCATTGTCTATCCCAGCTATCCAATCAGCCATAGCACACAGTTAAGAGTTAGAACTTTTAGTTAAAAAAGAAAAGCCTGAAGAAAGATTTGATTTCTTTCTTTTCCACTTATTCAGCTCAAGAGGCTTCCAGCTCACATTATGCTTGTTTGGATAAAATAAAAACTAAATAAATAAAACTCCACCTTAAATAAACAGCCTACACTGCCAAAGCTCTCCTTTCATTATCATCCATTTTCGCCGGCACCGCAGTCACCATGGCAACGTTACCATGGCTTGATGCCGTCTTTGGCCACATACCGCTATGTGGAATGACCTAAATGTTTTCTTTCAAACATTTGTTTATTAATTTCACAAAATATCGAAAAGCATCATTCTGATTTGACAAAATCGACTAATCTTACCCATCAAGACCAAGCCAAGTGTGAAGAAGATAAATAAGAAAATACATATACATCCATATATATATATATATATATATATATATATATATATATATATATACACACACACACACACACACACACACACACACAAACACACATACATATACATACATACGACAAATAAAAATAGACAAATAAATAAAACAATAATAAAAATAAAAACCATTATTGATTAATTAATTAGAATAAAATAAAAATTCAATTTAAAAAAATATTACAAAAATTTTAAACATGACTTTTTAAACAAAAAGGTGAACGCAGCGTAACGCTGTGCGGAGAAGACTCTTCTCCGAAACAGCCCTAAAAACCTGAGACTTTCATTTTGTCACAATAAGCATATCTGCTGTTTGCACTGCCGAGTTTTAAAACTTTTGCAAGTTGTAAATCTGTTGAATTAGAAAAGAAAAAGGAGAAAAGGCTGATATTCTGAAGCGTGTGCATGACAGAGCTGAGCCGGAGGCAGTGAGGACTGTATGTATGAAGGAATCCGGATAAGGATGTACTTATATATTTGAGATGATTAACCAAACCTGTTCCTCATCCACGGAAAACCACCCTCTTACTGGAAACGTATCACTGCGCATTTTTGTTAATCATCTCTTTCATCATCCTATAATTTAAAGTGCTTCCACACAACATGGTTTCTTAGGCATCTCTGCTCTTAACCCTTAGGCTCCGTGTGGAAAATGGTGCGCTGAGGTGAGGTGACGTGGCATTCAGTGTGTAACCAAAGTTGCATGGGTTTCACCTTGTAAAGCCACCATAAGGCTCAACTTACCTCTTATCTCCTGCACTCGGACCTGAGGGTAGCTGTAAATACAGGTAGAGCTTGTCGTTGTCTGAGAACTGCTGTACATCTCTCTGAGGGGACGCAAAGGAGGAAAAGACAATTCTGTCAGTGCAGGCCTTGAGGAGAGGTCAGGTTTAATGGAGCAATCGCATATTCTCAGCAAGTACTCACCAAAATAGTGTCCACTTTGTTCTGCACGGACTTACTGTGAAAAATAAAACACAACAGTTTAAGCACAAACATCAGAGTTTAACAGGCCTTCATGGCTGCTGTAGCTCCATTGATTTTGGGCCGTATTACAGAATTTTCTACGTTTTTGCCTTAAGATCTGACAGGACAAGATAAGATGTTTCACAAATTCGTATTACAGAACCAAATTTTATCTTATCTTACGGCATCTTAACTTCAGTTAGGAAATATTAACCTACTCAGTTGAAGTCGACAATCAACTATCATGTCTGTTTCCTACCAACCGACCATAAACACACAGCTGAAACGTAAACACGTCATCAGAATAATGTTAAAATGTGAGTTACAGCTGCCGTTATTGATGTAAAAAAGGTCAAACCAAACTAAAGTGTGATAAACTGTAAGGTGTGAATACTGTTAGAGCGCCCCCTGCTGTTTATCAGAGCGTCGCCACTCCCCAGTTTCAGTCTCCATTTCCCAAACGCTTTAGCCGAGCGCGCTAACGTTACTCCTCCTAATAAACAGACACACGTTCAGCTCCGTCTCCTCATTATTCACCACCATCACTGTAATATTTCATCATCAACATTAACACACGAAGGTGATCAGAGGGGCGGTGGAGATCGAGTCTGCAGCGTCTGAGATCTTTAAAACGCAGAGTTAGAAAAGAAAATCATCTCACAGTGAAAGCAGCGTTTTACAGTAGAGATAAATGGAGCTCATTATGCTGGTACTGAACTATGCTGCTGACTCAGCTGCCTAAAAACCATAGAAACGGACCTTAAACAGAAGTGAGGACCCTGTTGGGGTTCATCCTAAAGTTAGGACAGGATTTAGGAGGTTTAGTCTAGTTAGGATGTTTGTGTGATGCTGTTTTCTTATCTGGAGTTCATGATGAGATTATGAAGTAGGAACTGTTATTCTGGAATAACTACTGTCCGAAATTCAGTCCGTACTGAAGTCGTTATGGAGACCAAACAGGTCAGATTTCAGACTGAGGAGTTTCTGTAATACAGGTCCAGGCCTGCACATGAAAGTCTATATTGTTATCTGTTAGAAAGTTAGTGGAGACTTACGAAATGTTGCTCTTGAGCTTCTGGAGCAGCATGCTGGGTTCGGTGTCGCCGTCCCCGGACGAAGCGTCTGCCTTTATTCGGTCTTCCATCATGGGTTAACCACAGTGGAGCCACAAAATGCATTCAGAACCCTCTGGACTTGAAGCTGTGGGATTAAAAAATGTTTAATTAAATGTAAGATTTATTTATACAGAGCTTTTTGTGCTGCAAAAGGAAAAGTGTTTGAAAAGGGTTTCATATAGCACCAAAAAAGGTTCTTCTGTCTGTTTGACATCGTAACAACAAAAGAACCCTTTTTGGTGCTATATAGAACCATATACAGCACATTCTCCATCAATTTCAAGAACGATTTCACAATAAAGAACCATTTACTCACGCAAAGGGTTCTTTGAGAGTTCTTGGTTCTATATAGACCCATTTTCTTCACTAAAGAACCCTTAAAGAACCCTTGAAGAACCCTCTTTTTTATGTGTGTATGATACTTCTGCTGTATTGTCCACCTCAACTTCATTTACTCATTATCTATATAAATAAAAATCATTATTATCATTATTATATTATAAAACGATAATAACTGATTAAACGTTGTCTGAAGATCTGACAGGACAAGATAAGATGTTTCACAAATTCGTATTACAGAAGCAAATCTGATCTTAATTTAGGAATTTTATCTGATCTTACAGCATCTTATCTCCAGTTAGGAAATCTTAACCTATTCTATCAAAGTCGACAATCAGCTGTCATGTCTGTTGCCTAGCAACCAACCACACACGCGCACAGCTGAAACGTAAACACGCCATCAGAATAATGTTAAAATGTGAGTTAAGCTGCTGTTACTGATGTAAAAAAGGTCAAACTAAAATGTAATAAACTGTAAGCAGTGAATACAGTGAGAGCGCCCCCTGCTGTTTATCAGAGCGTCGCCGCTCCCCAGTTTCAGTCTCCATTTCCCAGACGCTTTAGTTAACTAACGTTACTCCTCCTAATAAACAGACACACGTTCAGCTCCGTCTCCTCATTATTCACCACCATCACTGTAATATTTCATTATCAACATTAACACACGAAGGTAATAAAAAAAAGAAAGGTAAGAAATATTAACCTACTCAGTCAAAGTCGACAATCAACTAAAGTTGATTAATTAAAGCTAGTTAGCCAGACAGCTGCTGTTACTGATGTAAAAAGGTCAAAAGTAAAGTGTGACAAAAAAAATGGCTACTGCATGTTTTTGTCATTTATTCAAACACAATTCAACGGTGGTGCCTACAACAGCACCAACTCCTAAACCTACAGATGAGGTATGTTCATATTTTCAGGTAAAGTGACTCGATTTTTTAAAAAAAAAAAGCAGCTCATGAAATTTTAATTTTACGTTACATTCACGTCTTATTCTGTAAGTTTATTGGCTGGTTGTAAAGCAGAAATCTGATTACTGTCTGACTCATGTAGACCCAGAGCTTCCCCAATATCTGATTACTCAAAGAGCATGAAAACACACTGAACCAGTTACTGACACAATCTGATTTGATACAGTTATCAGATTATTAAGCGTAAACACACTGAACCAGTTACTGACACAATCTGATTTTCTGCAGATATCAGATCATTAAACGCAAACACACTGAACCGGTTACAGACACAATCTGATTTTCTGCAGTTATCGGATTATTAAGCGTAAACACACTGAACCGGTTACAGACACAATCTGATTTTCTGCAGTTATCGGATTATTAAGTGTAAACACACTGAACCGGTTACAGACACAATCTGATTTTCTGCAGTTATCGGATTATTAAGTGTAAACACACTGAACTGGTTACAAACACAATCTGATTTTCTGCAGTTATCGGATTATTAAGCGTAAACACACTGAACCGGTTACAGACACAATCTGATTTTCTGCAGTTATCGGATTATTAAGTGTAAACACACTGAACTGGTTACAAACACAATCTGATTTTCTGCAGTTATCGGATTATTAAGCGTAAACACACTGAACCGGTTACTGACACAATCTGATTTTCTGCAGTTATCGGATTATTAAGTGCAAACACACTGAACCGGTTACAAACACAATCTGATTTTCTGCAGTTATCAGATTATTAAGTTCATGTAAACACACTTAGTGACCTGAAGCTGTTTCGTCTAGTGTCTGAAATGTGCTGTTGTGGTCTGAGAACGTCCTAAAACGTAAACTGTAACATATTTGGATTTTGGGAAGCACAATATCCGCCAGCAGCACTGAGCGCGTTCAACCAGCTCAGTTCAACTGCCACATTTCTACAACAGTAGAATAATAACAATGAATGTGGTATTAATGTAGAATAGCACATCACCAACACGCTTTTAGAGTTATGTTCGGGTGAATGAATACTACTCACTAGCTATGGTTGGCACAAATTAACAAATGCACTCTTGGTAACTTCTGAATATTAATCCTTAATGATTATTATTAATTAATGCTCATAATTGTTAATCGTCAAAGGGCAAAGGGCCTAGTTACCACATTGGATTCATTCGGTTTTTCCACCCTCAGCATTCACACCATCTAAAACTACGCCATCTCTTTTTCACACAGACACCAAACCAAAATGCACAAAAACCAGCCTGATCAGGCCTGTAACAGCACATCTACACAACATCTGTGGCACCATTGAAACTATGGCCCACATTTGTTTGTAATTGTGGAGTCGTTCTCACCAATATAACACAGTGGACAGAAGAACTGGGGGAACAGCTACAAATGAGGACAGTGAGCTTAATGAGGGTCTAATTAGGGCGCACAGTTTCCCATTCACAAAAACATGCAGGCACATGGAGCTGCTGGCAGATCAATCAGCCAAGCAGTGCCAGTGGGAAAGGGATGGAGAAGGCAAGGCATGCTTTCACCAAACACACACACACACACACACACACACACACCCCTTACAGATAGATATCTGACAGACACAGACACCTGTGGTCAAGTGAGTCACGTCTGAATGGACAAACTAAGCCACAGCACAAGAAACCAGACAAGACCATTTTAGTCCAAACATTAATCCAGACATGCAGCCCAACTACTACGAGGACTACGAGGCTGAAGTGGGTTTCCTGTTCGAATTGTCCCGTTCCACCTTAAATGGTGCAGCAGTTACGTTCTGGTGCTTCAGGCGCCGGAATGTAACTGCTGCACCATTTAAGGTGGAACGGGACAATTCGAACAAGACGCTGACTTCAGCCTCGTAGTCCTCGTCAAATCCAGACACAAACACAGACACTCGCACAGCTTCCCCAATCCGTACCTCTTCTCTGAGTGTAGCAGAGCGATTTTAATGCACTAACACGGTTTATTTTTAATATAAAAGCGGGAAATCTGCGTTTGGCTTTGTCCAAGTTAGCAGCGCCAGGCCTGAACACACGGCTAACCCAGCTAGCCGGCTAAAGCCGCCGTATCCCCCCCGATTTCGAGCCGGAATGATGTCTTTATCCCCCATTTGGGGTCGTTATGTTTCGTTTATCTCGCTGAAAGCGACGCCGCCTCTGCTTTGTTGTTAGCATGCAGATACATTAGCCGCCAGCTAAAGCAGCACAGCTAAGCTAAGCTAAGCTACGCTAACGAACCCCAACACAGCAGCTCGTCAAAGCTACCGAGAGGAAAATCGCAACAGTCTCATTATTTTAAACTTACGTCCTACTTTTTTGGCACCGGGACGCAAAATTACCACAGTTTATTTTTTAAAAAACGAAAAAAAGAAGTACCTGAGTCAAATAAACAGCAAAAAAATTCCCGCTCGCTTTATTTTGTGATTGGCCGCGCAGCGCTATGTCTGCCTAACTACAAAGCAAAGCTCGCGCCGATTGGCTCCGCCGCTGTGATCTCGCTTGGATACAGAATGTACGTCCCCTCTGATTGGCTGATTTATTTATTTTCGCGGTATTCCGGAGGTGGTTTCGTTTCGCCTCTCTGCAGTTTTGTTTTGTTTTTTGTTTTTAATAAAAAAATATATACATAAAACAACAATAGAGACGTCCGGCATCTCACTGCTCGGCTACAGGATAAATCATATAATTCAGAATAAAACACATCCAGGGGGAGACAATGGAAAAACAAACAAGACCATCAAACAAATAAATGACAACAGTAAACAGAGATTATGAATAAGACCACACAGCGGATTATTAGATATCGATTTTTTACACATATTTACAGCGGAGGGGTTTTCTTATAAGTGAAATACAAAACACACAAACTTTCAGCCCTTAAATTCAGCTGTAGGTGCTGTAGAGAAGACACACAGGCCTACAGTGGGGCAGAATTTAAGGAGGCGTCTCAGCTTCTCCACAGAGGGCATGTCAAGCTTCTTCCACACTGTACATTGACCTCTTCAACCCCTTGAGACCACCGGTGGTTCCAAAACGCACTTCGTCATATTCTTCATAACTTTCATATTTCATAAGCTACATTCTAAAGGTGGGGGTCGTATGAGAGCTGTAACTGTCTTCTTTCCAGTCAAATAGATGGTGATGTAATTTTAGACTCTTCTAATAAAAGAAGCTGAACTCACATTTTTTTTTGTCTACTGAAAATCGACCCATTTTTCCACAAATCTGGGCTATAAACTATAAACAGATGGCGTCTCTTCAGTGATCTGCTCTGTACAAATTATTTTTATAAAATAATACAAAGAGCGTCTAAGATTTTTGTCTTTCAGCAGTAAATTGTAAGCATATAGGAATGTGTGTGATCATAAAACACATGTTCTGTTCATTTATGGGGAACTTTTACAAAAAATAAATGAATAAAATAAAAAATTACATTTATTTCATGCAGTTACTGAATAACTTGCCTTACGATTTGATCATGAAAATTCAGATGGACAAACCAAAATAAACCCTGGAGAATAAGAGAAAGGGAGAGAAAGTTAAGTGCTGGTATTACAGATGAAGAGTGGACTAAAATGTGTGTAACAACCAGGGTTCGTCAGAATACCAGTGATGGCTGGATCCTGAATACACAATACACAATATGTACTCAGTAATGTATACAGTACAATAAAAGTAACATATTCCAAATACATTTAGAACACATTTACAATACACATTGATAAGACAGACGGGAAAAACTGCTGTAATTTTTATTTATTCACACTGTGTGTTCCTCACTGTTACTGGTCACAGTTTTCTTAATGTAATTCTTACGTTAATATCTTTCATGAAAAAACATTGTGTTGATGCTGACCACCTGCATTGGTTCCCTCCTGCTCCCACAATTCCACTGCTGTGCAATACCAAAATCTTACACATTTGACTATATAGTGAGTAGCTGTGTGATTTTCAGTTAATAACATGTATATAACTTGCCATGAATGTACGCACGAGTTCAGCACAACACTGATGATCAGCTTATTACTTGTGAGGTTCCATCATCTCTTCATAAAGTTTGGTAACACTGAGATTAATAACCGATCACACTTATTTATCAGTCTACTCAGGCTTTAGTTAGAACTTTACACGCTCTGCACCGATTTTAAAGTAGTTAATAAACAAGATGGTATATATTGAAAGAGGCTATATATTCATAAATTCTTTGAGAACCGAATAGCCCAGATGTAATAACCGTTTATTACATTTCTGAAAGATGTGTGTATGATTGTTAGTGTTAGGGTGTGTTGCGCTCGTGCGAGTGGATCAGCCACAGCAGTGCTGCTGGAGTTTTTAAACCCCTCAGTATCTCTGCTGGACTGAGAACCAAAAACATTCAGCCAGCAGCGTCCTGTGGGCAGTGCCCTGTGGGCAGCGTCCTGTGACCAGCGTCCTGTGACCACTGATGCAACTGTGCAGCAGCAGATGAGCTATCATCTCTGACTTTACATCTACAAGGTGGACTGACAAGGTAGTAGTGTCTAATAGAGTGGACAGTGAGTGGACACAGTGTTTAAAAACTCCAGCAGCACTGCTGTGTCTGATCCACTCGCACCAGCGCAACACACACTAACACACCACCACCACATTAGTGTTACTGCAGTGCTGAGAATGATCCACCACCCAAATAGTACCTGCTCTGTGAGGGTCCATGGGGGTCCTAACCACTGAAGAACAGTGGATGCTTTTCAATCTAGACATTGTTTTTCAAGGTAAATACACTGAAATTAAATAAATAAACAGACCTTTTTGCAGTCAGTGGGTGGACATATAAGCTACAATAAGATCTATGTCTGTATTGTGTTCATATAAGTGATGTTATCAGAAAAAGCCTTCTGCCTCATCTTAAGCAAAACAATTAAAAAGTGTATGCAGCTTTCATGTCCTTATATACAGCGTGATTCCTTGCACAGTTTAAAGTAGGTAACAATTGACAAGACTGACATATTGTTCTTCTTCTGTTATGATGTCTAGCTTGTAACAATAGAAGAAACTTTTTGGGTGCTATATAGGACCCTTATAAAAAAGGACTTTAATTTTGAAAGTGGTGGCACCAGGTCAGGGATGGCAGAGGCTGTGCGTTTCAATATGTGTTTTGGTTTCCTATCTAGGACCCTTAGACAGTGCACAGAATTAGTCATGTTCACCTACATTGGCCATTTTATCAGAAACTACAATCATAAAGTTTTGGGCACCCCAATTAAATTTTTTGAGTGAAAATAATTTAACACATCCTCTACAGAGAACACACCTCTACACACTCTTAAAGATGGTTCTCCAAGGGTTCCTTAGTGAAGACTATGGTTGTATATAGAATGATGAACACTCAAAGAAACTTTTGCTTGATTAAATTTTTTGCATCATGAAAGAGTTCTTCAGAATGTGCTGTAGATGGTTCTATATAGCCTTCTGTATAGGTTCTATGTTACCTATAGGACCAAAAAGCGTTCTTCTATTGTTATGATGTCTAGCTTGTAACAATAGAAGAAACTTTTTGGGTGCTGTATAAAAAAGGTATGTATATATATATATATATATATATATATATATATATATGTATATATATATATATATCTACAGATAACAATTGACAAGACTTTTAATATTTAACTACACCCCTGAGGACTTTAATTTTGAAAGTGATGGCACCAGGACAGGGATGGAAGAGGCTGTGTGTTTCAATATGTGTTTTGGTTTCCTATCTAGGACCCTTAGATAGTGCACAGAATTAGTCATGTTCACCCAAAGTCCTTATAGGTCTAATACTCCTTAATGAAGTCCCAGGTTCAGCTCGAGTTCTTGCTGTATACTTTTATCTAGTGCTATGAATTTGGACTTCTAACCCTAGAAACCGCAGTGCGTACAGTGAAGTGTTCCAGTACAGAAAACAAGTACACTTCAGCGAAGTGTTCTAGGTAGACCACAATATAGGACAAATTAGAGCTACATCATGACAGCAAAGAACGTACTTCAGGGTGGGAACAACAGGATTTTAATTAATGCTGCTGATTCTGAGAGCTATGCTGAGTTGAAGTCGTGTTGGCCCAGCAAAACACAACATTGACTACTTTCTTACAGGGTTTTAAAAAGGTGTTGTTTATTTTGTCTGAACAAGGTCGTCACAACCTCGTTATTAAGTAACGTTGCCATATAGTTTTTATACAACAGTTCGTTTTGGCCACACAAGCTGATTGGTTGAGAGGCGTTCTAACTGTGCTGTTATTTCACCATAACATCACGGTTTTTATCACAAACACTATCACTTCACTGAGACGGCGTTGCTAAGCAACCACTTTGACAGCTGTAGGAGACGCTCAAGACATTCGAACATTTTCACTTCTTACTTTGCCGCAAACAGAAAATGGACACTTTTAAGATCACATTTGACCGACAGCCGATTTGGTCAGACTCTGAAGATGAGACGACACTAAATTCCCAAACTGTCATCACCACTGAGCAGCTTTTTAGTCTGCAGCTGTGACAGAAGAACAGCTGAACAACCTGGAACCAACCAGAAATGAACCCAACACCATTCGCCAAACTAAATGGGCTGTAAGATGCTTTACAGACTGGCTGGAACAAAACAACATTAATACTGACCTGGCAAAAACTGACCAAACTGAGCTGAACCTGATATTGAGGCAGTTTTTTGGCTCAGTCTGTACTTGTTAAGGAACTATAATTTGGTGAAGGAACTGCGAACATTAAAACATATTAAACGCCGCGTTCACGGCCCAGTTTATTAATTTATTACTTTATTTATTTAACTGTTGTATAAAAGCAATAGAACACTTGTGTTATCGCCAATAAGATCAAGGCTGTGATGATCTACGGCGACCAAATCACATGATATAACGGGGGAATAGGAAGAGGCCTGGATACAGCTAATCTGGTTAGAACACAAGCACACACATACCAGGAATAAGTACGTTCTAGCAATGTGCCCTAGCTGGAATTTAAGCACGCACTAGCTTAGTGTTCTAGTTAGAGTACGGCTGTGCATATTAGAGCGCAGCCACTGTTCCGAACGCTGCCTTTAGAGGGCGCTGCGTGGAGTTTGAGTGCAGTTTGACCCTCACGGGTCCCGGCACGCTTTTCTACATTTAAGTTAAATGTTTATTAAATTCAGCAACTAATCTGACATTTTAGCGTCTAACGTTGGCGCTTCACCGGCCAGGCAGGTCCAGCAGTGCTGTAGTACAGGTACGGACGGATTAAGATGTGTTTAAAGTGTGTACAAATGAATGCACTGTTAGCCAGGCAGCTAACTAAGCTAAGCTAAATCAAACGGAGCTGAAGGGAAAAGGGCAAATATAGACACGCAGGGATATAAAGAGCAGATTTAATCTGTTTTCTGTGGCTCTGTTACACACGAGTCCACCTTAAGATCAGATTTAAGTCACCTACAATTTCCAAACCTGAATTG